GGGCGAGAGAGAGGATGAGCGCTGTGACAAAGTCAACAGGACAGCGAGGGGAAGCGCAATGCCTCATTGTTTAATTAAACGTTTATTTCATGGAATGCCAAAGCCAAATGGGGGGCGGGGGGGCAGGGGGGGGTGACATTCTTGGCGGCGGCTCGTCACAGATTGCGACGGGCTCGGGAGGTTCTGGTTCGCCGCTGATAGTGTTTACTGTCGCCTGTTCTGAAGCCAAGACTTAGTCCGCAAACAATGACCATTTTCACTTTATATATTTATTAAAGCGGCTTACAAACAACGTGAACATTTTTGATTTTCATGGCTCCACTTGTTTTCACAACATTTTTTTCACAGTTCTGGAAAACATCCGTAGATCACTGCAGAATGATCAGTTTCTCGGACTTTTGTCTTTCGTATGCTTGCATTGCAGACAAGCTCTTCGAACTGGGCCGCCGCGCACCGAGCATCAACTTCTGCCGCTACTTTTTATGAGCGATCTCGCTGCGATTCATAACTGACCTGAAAAACGTCGCAGGTGCAACAGCCAATCAAAAATGCAACAAACGCTTACAATAAATTTAAAAAACGCGATCGATTGGGGTCACAGCGCGCCTCCGTCTACCGTGACTACTCTTCAGCGTTGGCCCGCCCGAATCAGCGTGTGACTGGTTGCGCCTGCAGGGGTTAGCAGCCGATCGGCGGGAAAAAATGTGTGTTTCTTCCAGAGATTGTGTTGAAACAAAACTGCCCCCACCCTCTAGTAGACAATGGGGAGCGGTTGGCTCGTAGGCTAACAACCAGCTAGCCACTAATTTGCTATGTCACTCACATTGAAACAGTCAAGTGTTTGTTTTTTTTTTTTGCAAATGAATACCGGCTTCTCATATCGCTTGTCGGCCTCCTTGATTACTGATGATCGTACCGTATTAGCCCTGAAAAAAGAATATTGGGCTGTTGCTCAGCAATAATATTGACAATGCGAAACGAATTTTAGACGTACCTGCGACTAGAAAGCAAAGTGCAGAGAGTGGTTAGCGGTTAGCCCGGCGAACGCAGCTAGCCGTGTTCAAGTCAATGGATCTAAATGCACACGTTGATGCTGACAGCCTGACAGTAATTCATAATAAATGAATATAATAATATGATAATAAATATAAAACATTTAATAAATATAAAATAAATATAAAAATAAAATAATAAATAAAATGCAGTTGCATATATGCTTATATCTATATATTTATCTTATATTGCATTCTGTACTGTTTTCTGAAACATTTATCACTCACATTGAAACAGTCAAGTGATGGCGTTTTTTTTTTTTTTTGTTTGTTTTTTTTTGCAAATGAATACCGGCTTCTCATATCGCTTGTCGGCCTCCTTGATTACTGATGATCGTACCGTATTAGCCCTGAAAAAAGAATATTGGGCTGTTGCTCAGCAATAATATTAACAATGCGAAACATTTACTTGCATGCAACACTTTGTTTTTTTCTTTTCTTACCCCCCCCCACCCCCCACCCAATTCTGCTGCTGTAGACTGCAAATTTCCCCAGTATGGGACAAATAAATGTTATCTTATCTTAAACCAGAATTTGGTTCTGACATCACTTTCTCTAACAGGCCAAGATATATCTACATTCTCACGCTCTCTAGAGAGGAAAATAGCACAGTTTCAATTCAAGTATAAAATGTTAATTATCTATTTTCAGGAGGCTATCCCAAAACATCCGATAGCCACAGCCCTAAAGAAAAAAAACAACAACGAACAAATCGCCCTCATCATCCCGCAGCCCTACTGTGACGTCACACAAAAAGGTCGGCGACGACTCGTCTGTCAGCCTCACGCAGCGTTTTCAAGCACGTTTTGCTGCTGGATTTTGACGGAGGCGGCGGCGGCGACTCGAGACCACGCCCGGTCTGCCTCGGCACGAGCACGGAACGTGCGCGCCAGCGTGGAAGAGCAGCAGGCGGACGAGCGCCGACGTCGACGTTTGCCCTCACGGCGCGATTCTTGACGCGCGCTGGCGTCACGACGGGAGACGGCTCTTCAAGTGGCGTTGTGGCCGCGAGGAGAGACAAATGGTGGAAAGGCGAGAAACGAGAACAAGCTGCCAAATCCACTGAACGACTTCTCAATGGGCTCGTTGTTTTAAGGACAAAACACATTTCGCGCCGGGCTCTCATTGACGGGTCGGACCAAAAAAAATAAATAAAACACAGAGTGTGGAAAAAGAGACAGCATGCCACCTTTGGAGGGGTAAAGTGAAACAAAGGATGGGGAAAGAAGTGGAGTGTGAGGAGGGCGTGGAAGAACAATGCTTGAGGACAGGACGGGAGGGAAAGATGGCCAAGAAAACAAGGGGAGCGGCGCCCCCCGATGGAGAAAGGACAGAAGAACAGTCACAACACTCAACTGGCTCCGGACGTTCGTTCCCTCGGCAATGTTTGGGAGGGCTTCCGGACAGCGTTGGGCTTTGCGGTTCTTCTTTGGACCGAGTTTGTTTTTCGTTCTTGATCATAAACATTTTTTGCTATTCCCATTTTTGGGATCCAATAAATGATTCGGTTCATTCCCGAACCTGACAAATAGCTTTTCAAATTAGGATTTCAAGACTGGGGTTCGAGTTTCAAGTTGGGTAGGATTTGAAGTTACGGTTATGTTTCACCAAGCCTGAATCCACCGGGCATCTGTCCTGCACGCCAGATGGCCGGTCCAGGTCTGCACGAAGCGGTCTCCATTCCTATGCATCCATCTACTCCTACATCGTCGTCGTCTTCTTCCCGTTGTGTTCGCAGGTCTCACGTCGTCTTCACAACGGCGACTATTTTCTTCGAGAATTCATCATCGTTGACTGCGATACCAATCGGAGAATATTTGCATTCTAAACACATTTAATTGCACTTCATCTCTAAGGCGCGATATGGGATGATCAATCAAAGAAGCCGCGTGTTAGCGTTGCGGACATTTTTCTTCGGGGTGTGCGTGCGTGGAAAGGTCGAGGAAGACAAATGGAAGCATCGTCGGCCAGCGGGCGGATATAAATCAGTGCTTCTTAAACTTAAGGGATCTGTGAGCCGCGTGGGTCCGTGAAATAATTTGCGATAAATGATTAGATTATTTGAAAGGGGGAAACAACAATCTGCTGCTGATTCCGACTGGTCTGTGTTCATTGTGCCAGTCACAGTCAGGGTGTCATGAAATTAAAGGCACACATATCCAGAATCTTCCTCAAGTCCACAAACAAGCTGGATCACGTCTCAGTGAAAAACACCGTTTTGCTGATCTTATTGAAAGGCGCTTATAAATAAAATCTATTATTATTATTATTATCTTACCTTCCACTTCAGGGACGGGCAACAAAGTAAATGATGGAAGGGGTCACAATTTTTCAGCAGCTCGACTTGGGGGGGCCGCGATGGACTTGGCGTTGAATATGTCCATGTTTTTGGAGCACACAAGAGCACTGGAAACCGACTTACAATGGGTGTGGGGGTGGGGGGGGGATTCTCTATATTTCGTGTACTTCGGAGATCGGCGTTGTGGAGGCCATGAGACGACGCTCTTCTTCACGATGACAGCCGCGGTCTTGGGGGCGCTGGGGAGCAATGCCTGCCACCCTGCGGTTTTCACTGGTACTACATTTTTCTGGAGCAAAAGTACAAGGACGTCAGCAAATAAATACTCAAGTGCAGATACGTGAAAAAAAAACCCGACTTCAGCCCATTAACTATCTGTTCTTGGTTACTTGACTTCCCCACACCCCACCATTGACAGGCAGGCAGGCGGTGATGCACGGCCCCGCATCGACATTCGTCTTCGGAGCGCGACTCGAGCCTTGATGAGACACTGACGAATTTCAGTGGGGAGATTCATCCCTCATCCACTCTCTTCTCAGAAGTCACTTTGAGAAAAGACGGCTTTGTCACCACGGTGGCACTCACGGGATCACACCCTTGCGCCAAATGCCGATGAATGTTTCAAACCTAAATGAGGGTGTCAAATTTGAATTGGGGTTACAAAAACAATTTGGGTCATGTCTTTCAAATGTGCTTTTCTCAGGCTGCTTTAAGTTTGTGGTTTTAAGTTTGCAAGTTAGGCTTCGGATGTCAAGCCATGTTTCGGGTTTCGGGTTATGGTTTCAAATTAGACTTTCAAATGTGGACTAGGGTTTCATCGTCAAGCGTTAGGATCGCAAAAACAAGCTTGAGAGTTTCAAGTTCATGTTATAAGATCGCTGTAGGGTTTCAAATTAGGGTTAAGGTTTCAAGACAGGTGTGGGGTTACGCTTTGTTTGGAATGTGTCCTGCAACCAAAATGCTAGCCCTCGATCCAAATTTTATTCACTTTCAACATATTACCAAACGCTTGTGCTCAAGTCTGGCTAGAATCCGCAAGGCTACTTGTGTTCCGCTTCCAGCAAAGCACTCGATGTTCTTTTTCAAGCCGCCGTGCGATGTGACGTAACATAACGCATGGGACGGCAATTCCCACTCGCTGGCCTGGCGCGGTGCGCCGCTGTCAGCAAATTATCCGCAAAGACAAATGCACGGGACCGAAATAGAGCGCGCTTCATCAAGCGGCGCGCGTCTCTCGGGTCGTTCGTCTCACTGTCCCACTTGGGAACTTCACTTGCTGGATGTCGAACTTTGGGCGGCTCGAAGAAGCCCATCCGAAGAGGCTGTTTGTGGACGTCAACTCCTTCGGCGAAAATTCTACCGAGCAACAAGTGATGAGCAAAAGCGGGGGTGACAAACAAATCAAGCAAATTCATCACATTCGCTGTTACAACCGAGAAAGGGGCAAGATTTCAAGCTAGTGTTTCAAACGAGGGTTTTTAGACAGGGTCAGGGATTCGAATGAGATCTTCAAGCCTCGTCTATGGTTGAAAGACATGGGATGAGGATTTTAGCCAGGGTTTGGGTTTCAAATTAGAGCACAGGTGTCAAACTCAAGGACCGAGGGCCAGATCCGGCCCGCCACATCATTTTATGTGATCCCACTTTCACAATAAATATTTGAACAAAAATGGACAGAACTATAGTTCGTCATCAATTTGCTGTCTGCATGAAATACGAGGCAGTTTGGGTTCACCGTTAAAACGGACCCCCACGAAGGAAACCCAAACGATGAGAGTGAGTGGACATCATATTTCATTGGAAATACAATTGCATCCATTCTTCCTGTGGCAGAATCCAGAGGGTCAGAATAAAAACGGTGTACAGTGCTCTTCTTGATTTAAAAAAAAAAAAAAAAAAAACGTATCCGCAAACACACTCGGAACTTCAGTAGCGCACATCCATTTGTTTGGTCAACCATCAATCCTTTGAGACGCGAAATGGACCGCGGAGGTCGCCGCCGCTGTTAAGTTCGCGCTAAGATCCGTCGACCGAGGAGGCCCAGGACCACGAGGACAACCGGTGCAGCTGCGGCAACGGTGGCGAACAACTGTGGAAATGACAGCAGAACACAACAGAGAGCGTAACTGTGGCCAGATGTGGAGAATTCAGGTGCAGAAAAGTGAAAACCCCTGCCAGGGTTTAGCTTGAGCCACATGCGCTTTCAGGTCAACGCGCTCGGCAATCAGGCGTGTGCCACCAACCTTGAGAAGCGCACAATGCTCCTTGTGGAAGCCCCGCAGATACACGCTGAGCAGAGCCAAGCTGCAAGGCAAAAAGGAGTCGGAATTTCCAGAGTCTCGACACCTTTTGGGGAGAACGTGGGCAAAACAACATCAGTTGGATGGTCCGGCTTTTTTCACCCCAAACACGGTCCCCCACGCTCAAATAGTTGTTCATTTTTTGGGGCAGTTTCAGCAAACCTTTGGTACAAGGCAGTCGCAAGCGAGTGCTCGTCCGCAAACGTGAAGCGGGAAAGGCCGAGCTCGGCGAGCAGCGCCGTTGGTGGCCTGAAGCCCTCTTCCACCAGCAAGCCGAGGTTGTACCAACCCTTTGGGTGGAAACGAAAAGAACCTTTCAGAAGCTTTGGAAACAACAAACTGTCCCGCTGGAAAAAAAGCAGTGAGAGGTTAGCTGCGTGACCTGCGGCTCGTTCCTTAGCGCCGCCAGTTTGTACATCTCTGCGGCGGAAGCCGAGCTCTCGCGGCCATCCACCAGGCCCTCGCGCCACATGTCGCCCATCCGCAGCAGAGCTGCAGAGCGAGAAGAGAGCAAAGTCTGCTCCTGCACTCATCACAAAGCGTCACCGAGGCGCGTCGAGGAGGGCTTGTCAAGCCGAGTCACTGGATGACTTGCGAATCGCTCAAAACCAGATACAAGCTTGAAAGACTCATCTAACTCGAGCTTGATACCCGACTTTGAACAACGAACCCCACGTGTAGTTTACCGTAAGGCTCGGCTTCCTGATGGTGGATTGAGAGGTTATAATATTTTCTCTTGCAGCGCAGCGCAAACGCCGGAGGCAGGAAACCCCCCTGCGAAGAAACCCAGCACAAAAACTGACGTTATGGCAACACGTCAGCTGAACAACCAGGCCACATCAGCGTTGGTAACTGGCCTCGTTTTGATCGCAGAGATACGCCGCGTTGAAGTGGGCCGCCGCCACGCCCAGCTCGCCCGCCATCATGTAATACACCAGCGAGACAAACCTGGCAAGCAAAACACGCGAGCAGAAGCGTTGGGATAGAACAACAAGCAAGGTCTGCCCGCCGGAATCACCAACAGGGGGCACCGAACTCCATTTACCATCCGAAGTCGGAGTATTTGTTCCACCGGATTGTGTTAATCTATTTGCAACATTCCATTCGCTACATTTGCAAGCATTCGTTTGAATTTTTTTGTCCCATCGGATTTAAACATCAATCTAATCTGACCGGGGCCTTCAGAATCGGCAGCGCTGGGCGATGTCATCTAAACGAAATTGGTTCTTGATTTTTATTTAATCTATCTAGCTAGCTAGATATCTATCTAGATTGCTAGCGAGATAGATGCTAGCTAGCTAGCTATCTAGCTAGCTAGCTAGCTAGCTAGATAGCTAGATAGATAGATAGATAGATAGATAGATAGATAGATAGATAGATAGATAGATAGATAGATAGATAGAAATTTATTTTTGTGTGGTTTGGGCACTTACAGCTCATTGTTGAGGAAGGCGTCCAGGGCTTGCCGTAGCAAACGACCCAGGTAGCCATTTTGCTCCGCCGCCGACTTGGCCCATCTGTGCGGTCAGGTGGAGAGACACATTAGGAAACCTTGGTCATGCGAATACAGTTGTTTTCATTAGCTTGAAAAAAAACAACAAACAAAAAAGGTAAGGAGCCAACAAGACAGCATCCAGCGGCCGGCGACTGACGCGGCCGGGCAGCCCGGTGGACCAGACGTCGGCGACTTCGGCCACGCCCCTGATGTGTCCTCGCTCCGCAGCCTTCAGGAAGTACTTGTAGGCCACGTACTGCGGGAAGAGCACACCATTCGTTTCTGGAGAAATTGCAGGTGAATGCTGTCGAATGAAGGAGTCGTGTCGGAAACGGCAAAGGCGAGAAATTCAAAGTCCGACGGTTTTGTTCCAATTTCTTGGTCAAGTGGGGAATTTTCTTCCAGTGTGAAATTGGTGAGGGAGTCGGAACGATTGGAGTGCTTTTTAAAGACAGAATGATTGGATTCAATTGGGAAATGTTGAACTGATTCGATTCCTTGATTTGGTGGAATGGCTTATGTGAGAAAATAAAGCGTGACTTGTGGTTATGAAGGTTAAAGAAACGGCGTTCGACGCGGTCATCTTCCCACCTGGTCGGCAGGTCTCTGCGGGTAAAGGCCGAGCGAGTGGACGATCCCGAGGTTGAGAGCGGCGTCCGGGCTCTCCAGGGCGTCGGCCTGCTCCCACAGCTCCACCGCCTTCTCGTAGTTCAACTCCAAGCGTTCGTAGTACCAGGCCAGTGCGCTGATGGCGGGGACGAAACCCTGACCAACCAAATAAGGACAGACTCATACTAGGCCATGGGAGCCACTGGAATCGCGATCAAATATTTTGCTATTCCGATATCCTACGTTAATTTCAAATCGAATAGTCGGTTATTCCGATAAAAACAAGACTAGATTTTTTTTTTCTTGCTTGGTTAAAGCTATGTAATATCCATATTGGTAAGCTGAGGTTTATTTTGAAATCAGCCTTCTCACCGCATTGGCGGAGTGTTACTCTCATGCAGACCATAAACAATTTGTTGCTGTGGTTAGCTTGACGACTTCTTGGCACGTAAATAAGCGGGTACCCGAATGCCTTGAGCAATTTTTAGAATCAAGAAACCGGAATTTACTCCAGGATTTGTTTCAGCACAAAACTGCAACGCAGCGACTCTGGCCACTGATTCATCATAATGATACCTTGCGCAAATCAGCGGTTCAGAGAAATAGCCACAGTCATAATAAGTCAATCCAGATGCTAGGAGCCATCAGGCATCATAGAAACCAAGCCGGTATTCAAGTAAATCGCAACAAATAAAGTATTGTACCTTGTCCATTGATTTCTTCAATAACTTGATGGCTTTGGGAATGTCCTTTTCGACGCCGTGGCCCTATGGGGACACAACAACGTCAGGCTGCAGCAGTGCCTTGATTTACGAGTGCCCCGAATGACGAGTTGTTTTTTTTTTTTTTGTTACAAGTAGTCGCTAACTGGATTGGGGATTTTGTTGATCGCTAAAGTTAGACCCACGAGTGAAAAAAAAGTAACAGCTTTATATTTGATTTTGTTACTTCTTTTTATGTACAGTAGTACAATATTATCGTAGTGACAATGGCATGGCCTGAAACAGGATCACGTCCTTGCCAAGCATAACCGCCAACCACATTTTTACTTTGTGAGTGATATTTTTAATGCAGTTACTTTCCCTCAACGTGGCAGTCTTGAGTTACAACAAAGAGACCCTTAAACCCTAATTTTTTGCGAGAATTTAAGCAGATTTTCCGTTTGTTTATCGGATCGGATCCATTCGTTTCAATGGGGAAAGTGAATTCAAGATACAAATTGTCAGGGTACCAAGGCAATCCAAAACATTCAAAATAGGCTTGAAAGTGACCTGCAAGAGGACGATGGCAAAGTCGTACATGGACACGGGGTCCTCCAGGCGGACCGCCCCCCTCTCATAGTGCCGTAGAGCCGCCTTCATGTTGGGTGACACCCCTCGCTGACCCCAGAACAGCATGCGAGCCACCGCTTGCTGGCATAATGAAGATGGAGTAGCACTGTCTTCATCTTGCTTTTTTTTTTTCTTCAATGAAGGACATTGAGCGTACCTCAGCGTCAGGGGCACCTTGGTTCGCCTGAAACTTCAGCCACTGGAAAATGTGATGGTTTTCGTTGGTCTGAAGGCCCAGGATCTCGTCATTGTGCAGATAGACGTCCTCCACGTACACCTGAAGACCAGAAATCATTCTACTCAAGTCAAGTCACCTTTATTAGTCTAGCCCTTCATGCCAAACACTTTCAAAGGGCTTCACGTGCCCACAGTTGACAAGAAGTCACGACATCCCCTGACCCATCTGGGGAAAAAATAACAATCCTTGAGAAGGGGCCGCAGATGGGAGAATCCCTCCCCGCGCCCCTTCCGGGATGACCAGCCAGCCATGGATGCCGAGTGGGCAACACAAAACTGCACTATACAATATTAGTTAGAATGATAAAAAAGTCCCTTCAGCAAGACGAAAACGCTGCAGGGAGAGAGGTGGGCCCCACTCTAAAACCAGCCCAGTTGGTCAATGAAGAAATCTTCATAGCAGCGCCTCCGAGTGGTCGAGCCAGTTCTTTTCCAACTCAGTCGGTGCAAATCATTCTGTGGCTTATTTTATAACCTTTTACCCCCACAAATTGTAAGACATTTCCAACTTGAACATCTGATTTGCGGTTAATCAGAGGCACTTTAAATGATAGCAGATGATGCGGACTCAAATTGAACATGGATTTGAAGGCGATTGGTTCATGCTAGACACAGCCAAATTGCCAGTATGAGAGGGTGTGCACACATGTGCAACCACATAACTGCACTCCTTTATTTTTATTTTCCCTCTTGGTCTCTTGAAAAAAAAAAAAGTACGAGAACAGGCGTGTGTAGGATTTTTATAGCCACAGATTTTTTTTTATTAAAAAAAAAAAAAAAACGAGTCAAGTGAGATTTGGTATTTTTTTAACCCATTGTGATTTGATTTTTCCAAAGAAAGGACATTAGACTTATTATGGAAAAATTGACCGAAAATCTAATCAAATCAAATCAAGCATCTCCCTGACGTGAGTGACTTGTGAGTGTCCGCCGTCACCTGTTTCGGCGTGGGATTCTGCCGATCCGCAATGGTGCGCTTGGCCGCGTTGGCGTAGTAAGCATAGGCCACGTCCTCATCTGCGCTGACGCCGTGGAGGCCAAGGTGGTGCAGGTGGCCCAGTTGCAGCAGAGCCAAGCGATGGCTCTTCTGGGCGGCCAACAGGGCCAGCAGCCACGCCTGTCAAGCAGAAATCGAGCAGTACTGTACCTTTACGGACCAATTAAATTTGTTCCACGACAAAGCTTGTAACTATTTACTTGGACAGAAATACCATAATGGTGTAGAGTAGTGTTGTTCATACGCCATAGATGCTCTACACTGCTCCCTATAGTCTGGAAGAATGTCCGCTAACAGAGAAACGCCCCCTCCGCCTTGACGGACGGCAAAATAACTGCGACTGTTGAATTGTTGAAACACCTGTAAAGCCGATCGTCCTTTATCAATTTATAAAAGCGAATTATCTTCTAAAATGGTCATATCTTGCTTTGCGGTCGGATGTACTAATAGACAAGAGTGTAAGCCAAACTGGGCTTTTTAACACATACATCCCGGTAAAAGGTTTAAAAAAAACGGCCATGGATAGCAGTCCTCAAAGTATTCAAAAATTTACTGCGATAATTTTTTTACAGGGTTAATAGATCGTGATTCATTTATTTTACTCATAATCACTAAATTACTGCGTCTTATTTTGCGCAAATATAGGACGGGATGTGGAAAAAAAAACTGTCAGTTAGCATCACAAGCAAGTTTTACGTTCGCAAAGGTATCTGTAATGGCGTCAGGTATCATATCATGGTGTCAATAAAGGCAGCAAAAGTTGTCTCGGCTTGATTCTGCGCGTAACGTACGTGCGTCAAGCATCAACGAAGCTATTCGAGTCGCAGGCGCTGGCAGATAAGAACACACCTTATTGGGCTTTTTGTCCACTCCCACACCCAAACTGTAGAGAACCGAGGACATGTGCAGAGCTGCGGTGTTATTCAAGCAGGCGGCTTTGAGCAGCGGAGGTAATATTTGAGCCAACACTCGCTCGCTGCTTGCTGTGGCTAGTTTGCGAAGGGACAGAGAATACAGCGCTCGGCCAACCGCTTCAGGGCTGACACCTCGTCCTCCTGGCAAAGATGACATATTCACATGAACAATCAACTGAAAACACGAAAGGGGTTTGTAGCGGGTAAAAGGACATATTTGGGATCTTTACATCGTATTTTACGTCATCTTTTTTTCGAAAAAAAAATCTCTTTATTTTGAAAATGCCATGCCGGAAGTTGTGTGCTACAGCATCTCCGTGAGCCTTCCTCAGAAACCGAGACGCACTCGTAGAGAGCGGCATTTGCCACGCGCGTTACTCGAGTTTTCCTCGTTGTTTTGCCAACGACGAGTGAATATACTGGAATAGGAATTTGACAACAGTGCTAAAATGTAAGTAACTGTTCCTACCATGGAATGCTGACCAGTTATTTTGCAAAGAAGCAAAGTTGCCTGCTCAGGCACTTGGCTGCATTCTATGTAGCTGCTCAAAATGCTGATTGTGCTAACCTTAACCCCCCCTCCCTCCAAAGAGAAGAAAACGAGATAAATAGAGAGCGCAAGACACAAAATTGTAGCTCTGCCACCGATTGTGAACGGATAGTAGTTGAAAACAAATAATTGAGTTTCCCAAAGTATTCTTTCTGTTGAAGAGCATAAATCTGCCGCTCTTACCACGTTTGAAAGCCAAATATTCCGCAATTTTGGCGACATATCGCGGAAACGTCGCCTCCCATAACTCGCACGTGTTCGGGGTATCCTTCCGTTTCCCGCTGTGAAACGCCCCCAAACGGTTGCCTGGGGAAGAAAAGAGGTGACTTCACAAAAGATGCTTGGAAATGACACCGCCTTGTGGGACGAGGCCGCGACTGACCTGACTCTTGGCTGTGCCGAGCCAGGAGGGAGTAGAAGCGCACACTCTGGTTTACATGGAGAGAAAATTGTCGGCAGGCGTGCATCCATCTCGTGAGGTCCACGTCTCGGACGACCTTGGGAAGAACGACTTCTGACTGCGGATGAGAGGAATGATTATAAAAAGGACAACTTGGACAATAAGTTGCAACTGCGCTTTGTGGGTTACCGGGCTCTGAATCGGCGCTCTGTTGCGGTAGTAAACTGACGGCCCAAAGTAACCTTGGGTGCCCTTCACATACCTCCCCCCACCGATCACAAAGTAGCCGTCGGTGTCGTCCAGCCTGATGTCATGGCGCAACCTACGAAAAGAAAGACAACGAAAAAAAAAAAAAAATCTGCTGAACCAAAATTTCCCGTGTGCTTCTTCAGGCTTTTTGTGGGTGGCTTGACTCACCATCGACATGGCCATCACACTTTATGTTGCGAAGTCGAACTTATGCCGTTTGGATTTTTCAAGGTAAGTCAAAATAATCACTTCAAACCTGACCGGAAACCTTTGTGGACACACGCTCACCTGTTCTCCGTGGACTTCGCCGCTCCGAACTCCTCACCCAAGCACACGATGGTGATTTTCACCTGACGACGCATCGGTGAGTTTTTGGCTCATCATCTGCGCCGTGATTAAGTCACATGACTCACCTCTCTGCCTCGCAGCGCCACGGTGAGCTGACACCACTCGCTCAAAGGCAGCCGGTGCGGGAAGAGGATGGCGGTGGATTCCCCCGGCCCGCCGTGCACTTGGACATGCAGCAAGCCTGAACCGAAGGCCGCGGATCAGCTTGATCCATGAACGGGGGACTTTGCGTCTTTGACCAAAAATCGAGTGTCGCGATACGGTTGCAGGGTGACGAGTACCTGATTGAGTGAGGAGTATCGCGGGCGTAGCGTAGTTGTTGTGGGGGTCGATGTGGTGAAGCACGCCGCACGTGCTATCCTGGCAGTGTCGGGTCACCATGAGCCAGATGGAGAACATGGACCTGTCCAACAGAGGAAGGACACCCGTGACGCCGTGTATCTTTCTGCTCTCTCCAATTGCAACGGCCAATCAAAAATCTGAAAATAAAACGAAAATGGGACTGATTGTTGTCTTTGGCCTGTAAGTGCAACCAATTAACCCTGATTACCCCCAGTTTGATTTTAAACTCACTCCATTTAGTTTTTTTTATCTGAGCCTAAAATTGTAGGATGAAAAGTCCAGTTGTTGTTGTTGATGAAAAAAAAAACAAATGGCAAATAATGACTCATTTTCTGATTGTTGATTCGCAACTGAAAATGGAAACGCTTTTTGTTGTGAAGCTGAGCCTGACATTTCCTTCGTAAGGTTTGCATTTCCTCTCACGCACCAGGGGAACATGAGGGACTGCAGTCGCAGGTGCTCCAGAACGTCGCTGGCGTGGGGCCGAAGATTCTTGACGATGCCGAATTTTCCCCCAGTGGAGGCGAAGATTGAGGACAGCAAAGGCACCGTTTCTGAACACGACAGGTGGCATGAAATAAGTTGAGTGTTTGAGGGTTACGATAAATCCGCGTTATTCGCCGAGATTCAGCTTGACGATACTTTCGCTTGCATTCAAATATCCGTTCCGTAAAGGTTTAGAATCATCGCGGCACCAGTGCTTGTTTCTTTTTGTACTGTATGTTAGAATTAAGCTAGGGTACTTTTGGAAGATCAACTTCATGTAGTTTGGTTGGATAAATAATAAGTAGTTCTCCTTGTTTTGGTTTCAGGCGGATAAAACCTTTTTGTTTTAGCCTTGCTTGCTCAGAGTCCCACTCTGCCCAGTCGTATGGTGATCCACAGTATCGCGGCACTAGTGCTTGTTTCTTTTTGTACTGTATGTTTGCATTAAGCTAGGGTACTTTTGGAAGACCAACTTCGTGTAGTTTGGTTGGATAAATAATAGGTACCGGTAGTTCTTGTTTTGGTTTCAGGCGGATAAAACTTTTTTGTGTTAGCCTTGCTTGCTCGGAGTCCCACTCTGCCCAGTCGTATGGTGATCCACAGGGATCGATCTTGGGGCTCCTGCTGTTTTCATTGTACATTTGGTCTCCCGGGTTCATTTTAGGAAAGCGTGGTAATTCCTTTCACTGCGATGCGGATGACAGCCAAGCTAAGCAAAAAAAGGGGCGCCTTCTCCTCAAGGTCCCTTTTGTCCTGTCTGGAAGAAATCAAAGCTTGGATGGCACAAAACCACTTCAGCAACAAGAAAGCGGAAGTGATGGTGTTTGATCCGAGTTGCCCTTTAGAACTTAGTTTTTTATTGAGTTGACTGTTTTTCTGTTATTAATTCGTTTTCACTTTTCGTTTTTTTATCCGTCAAATAATGTTTGTTGAGTTCCAGTAAACCTCACCTGAGATTGGCAACAAAGCTTACCCTGCTCCACCGGACACTGTTTCTTTGCGTGGTCTTGCACAAATCGCAGCATTCTCGCACCCCAAGTGAAGCAGACAAGATGCCGCTTGGTGGGTCGACTATATTTGGACCGAGGCTGTAAAGTTGCAACGTCTTGCGCCTCCACCGTCCACTCGCCATTGGTTTCGTGCCTGTACCTGACGGATGCTCCCAGGATGCAGCTCAACACCCATCGAGACTCGGGAACAATCCCGTCCGGTCTGTAAACCAACCAATCGGGCAGGCTCACCCTCAGGGTCCTTTTTCGGGGTTTTCCCGGGAGGCAATGCCATCGTCTTAGCAGCGACGTGAAACTGTCGCCAATGTCGAAAGTCACCATACAGTCCAGTTGTACAGTAGCGGGTGCATCACAAGAGTAGAAAACCTCCAGAGGATGCTGGGCAACAGGCTCCAGGGGGGGATTCGCAAATCTCACCGAGTCCAAAGCAAAGCCCACCTGGGAAAAATGACACATTCAAGTTTCTCCCCCCCGACCCCCCAAATCTCCAAAAATAATAAACTTGCTCGTACCTGTACGCTGAGCCACAGCCCGCAGATGTATTTGCGCTGCATATCCATGTTGCCAGTCAAGAAGGTTGAACAGCACTGGCAAAAAAAAAAAAAGTTAAGCGGCAAGCCTTCACACCCGGACCTCATCCGGCTCCACCTGACTGCTAAAGTCAATATTGAATAGCTCACGGTTCCTTGCAGCCAATGACTAGCCGGTTGCAGTTTGGGTGGGGCTTTTGGGAATTCGGTGGGTGACATGCCAAACGCACTGTCGCCAGTGACGGAAAGTAACAAAGTAGGAATACTTTTCCGTGCTTTAGATTTTCTCAGTACAGAACTGTATCTGTAATTCACGAGAGTATTTTTCTGACACTTTACTTTTACTTGCTACATTTTAAATATAGATATCTATCGTAATAATAGGCTTATCACTTTTTTAGAACTCAGCAGAGGATGAGATGACAGAAAAAAAAGAAAACGGGTTGAGAGCTTGAGGAATTGTCAGGTGGAAAAAAAGAAACAGGGACAGCAGAGATATGGATGAAGAGTTGTTTGATCATTTCATTTTAGTCCCAGGATGGTTTCTATGTCCCGCCTAGTTTTGTTTTTGAAGATTATGTTTTCATCAAACAGCATTTTTATGTATTTGTTGTTGTACAGGCACGGCACTTTGTTTCAGTTGCAGCTGTTTTTTTTAAAAGTGCGCAACAAATGAAGTTGATAGATGGTAATGTACTGCCCTGCACCAACATTACAAAAAGCCTCCAATTCACGAGTCTAAGATGAAACCCCGCATGAGAAATGTGTATTATTTCAGTCGTTAATTGGCAAATGTATCACATTTGGATGGTTCGAACACAACGTTTGGACAGCATAAAAGACTGAGCCAACGATTGCTCGCAATCCAACTGCGTACCGCGTGAAAGTGACAAGTCCAAATCATTTTGCTTTGTTATTGATGTGCGGCAATATATTTCACGGAACATTTAAAAGGAGTCGAGCCAGGAAACGGACAACGGGCGACCGTCGTCAATCAGTGGGCAACGTTTGAGAGGAAATGCTGCGGTGAGTCGCAGAAGTTTGCAAAAAATAAATAAATAATGGCGTTAGTGAGAGGAAATGACGAATTACGCTCACCTGAGGCATGGTGACGTCACACGCCCGAGAGCGAAAGACCCACGTTGGCGAACGGGCAAAAAAAGAAAACAAAAAACGTCGGCGAGAGAGTGAAGTTCCGACTGAACTCGGTACTTCAAAGTAGGGATGAAGAAATGTTTTGCTCTGAAATGTACTTGCGTTTTTTCCACATTTCATCATACACAATACTTGGTTTGATAAACGCCCAAAACAACAAAAACTCCTCTGCACGCCTCTCTTTAAAGATAAAGTTTACCGCCTTATTTGCGTCCTGCTGTCATTCACAAAGCAATCGTAAAGTAATTGAGCCAAAAGTGAGTAAAAAGTATCCAAATGCTTTCATGCAACACTTTCGAAAAAATAATCACAGGAGATACAGAGATGTCTCTGTCGAAAATACGGAACGGATGTCACAAAGAAAAGCTCAAGAGTTGAACGATCAGAAAATAGAATTTTGACATGTTGAGGTGAGGCTCGTATGACTCCTTACACGGGGATCTTGTAAAACACGCACCGACAGATTGTGTTTTGATCGAAAACCCATTCGAAGTTGTCGAACGGGAGAACTTGGTGAAACACCGCCCTCTGCTGTCAACGTTGCGTCATTGCGAATCAGAGCGTGTTTGTTTCTTGTCAAGATTTGTGTTTGCAGAGGCGGGCGAGCACCCCTTCAAATGCGAACCCCAACCTAGGCTGTCTCTGATATGAGTGACTTCTGGGCAGGGCCGGAGTGGGACTCGTTTTGGAGTTTCATGGCTCAAACCAGCCCAAGTTCAGCTCACAGCATTCGCATGACTACGTCTAATTTCTTTGGACATCAGAGATAAGAAATATAAAGCTAAGCAAGTAGTCAGACAACGCCCAAGGGCTCTAAATGAAGTAGCACAGACAACAAACGGTCCCCCATTGTTTGTTTAAAATAGTTTATTGCTTTCATGCAAGAGTGCCATAAAAGACCATCACAGAAGATGCAAAAAAAGTTGTCTCTATACAAATATACGGTGGGGATGTCATAAATAAAAGCTAAAAAGTTGAAGTTCGAACAGGGCGATTGGCGGGCTGGGAGGGGGGGGGGGGGGGGGCAGCACTTTTGACATGCATCAACAAAAACATTCAGTACAGCTGGCGTGTAAAAACATGGAGCAAATTTGCCAAGAACTCAAAAGCAGCCATTGGTAAAATTGTCACCAAACCACATCTTGACAATTCAGCCGACTGCCTTTTGTGTTTGTTTGGTTGATAAAAAGCTGAAAGTACAGATGCATAGTTCTGCGAGACCCCTTGACAAATGTAAACATACGAGACAAAAGATTTGTTGCTTGCGGAACACGCGCCGACCTAACTAACATCATGCTGGCCAGCAAACGGCGATTTGGCACTTTGATGTGGGAACCTTGGTCTTTCTGCGTCAGGATTGGGGTGGGGTGGTTCCAAATTGTGGATTTGTAGCCCTTTTCCAGCACCCACGACACATCCATGATCTACTACACACCATATACGACACCCCCCCAAAAATTTGAGAAATTAAAGCTGCAAGCCACAACGAACGGCCCCTCGCATCCACTTGTTCATGGTGAAGCTTCAAAATAACTCTCAAACTCTGTTACCGTGCTCCGTCCACATTAGATCGTGGAGAAAAAAAAAACAAAAGTTGAGATTTAGCATTATCTGTCTGCTTACAAATGTTCCCAGGAAGCTGCAAAAAAATAAAAAGTGCTCTGAGGGTCAAACGAGTCTGAAGCAAAAACAATTCCGACAAGGCCTTCAATTACAATTGTAATATAACGTGATGCTGTTCATACCACACGTAAATAGATTAAAAACAAACTATTTTTGTGTATGAGGACCTCGAACGTTACGACTGTTTCTTTTTGGTAACATTTTTTCTCCTTAGGACACAAGGTGCCCGTTCAAATAAATAGTTGCTTCAAACGAGAGCTTTGCACACAAAATAAAGAACCGCTGGCCGACCCAGTTTCAATACCGCAGGGTCTTTTTGTCTGGGTTACAAGGCCACAAAAAAAAAAAAAAAAGTATCGCTCGCACTCGATGTCCCCTTTTGAGTCATCGATGAGTCTGCGATAAAATGAGGGGGGAAAAAATTGTCAGCACTCAAACCAAATACATGCACGGAAAAAATGGTTGTTTCCCTTTGAGAGTGGCATAGAATAAATTACTCTGACAATGCATCACCCCCAAAACACACAAATGCACACTCGCACAACTCATGGAAAGTTCGAAATATGCGGCTGTCGGCTAACATTTCTGGATCAACGCGCACTACATGACGGGATTTCCCCCAAAATGAAAATCGGTCAAAATGAAAAGCTCGGTAAGGAAAGGTCACTTGAACCCGAATACAACGCGGCAACGATTCTTAAATTCAGCTAAAGCCTTGTGTAGAAATTGCACTTTTTTTTTGGCGTGTGTAGGCAAAAAATGGCCTTTGGGAGGAATGTTTTTTTTTTTTGTGTGTGTGCCGTCGCCTTCGGTCACTGTGGTCAGAAAAAGACCCTTCAAATTTGAGGTGGTTATTCCTCAGCCCTCTTGGGGAAGCCCCTTCTCTGATTGGCTGACAAGTTTCTCTTAAAAATATCCACCATTTTTTGGAGAGGAGGATTTATTTTTGTCTTATGGATATTTAAAGTGCTCATTCCGTGTTTTTTAGAAAGGATAGCGTGGTGGAATTTCAGCCAACAGCCGCAGAAGGCAAACTTTTTTGTGAGTACGATAAGCGCTTGCTTGCTCCCACAGTCCAGAAGGTTGGAACAAGCAGCGCAGGAAAATTAAAAAAAAGACACGCAGGGGAAAAAAAAAAGGGGTGGGAGACCTCATTTCTTCTGCTTCTTGAAGATCTTGAAGGTGTGTTTCTTGCGTCCGGCCGCGGAATCCGTATCCTCGCCCGTGGAGCCGCTGTCCTCCTCCAGCGGGCTCTTCTTGGCCGCCAGCTGCGGGATGCGGGTGGCGGCGCCCTTGGCCCAGGTGGGCGAGGGGGTCTCCGGCTCGGTGGAACTGAGCGAGCGGGTGGACTCGGCGGGGCTGTGGGCGTCGCCCGCCGCCGCCCACTCCTGCTGCTGCGCCCTCCGCATGAGGACGGGGCTGTCGGGCAGGTGCTCGGCGCCGCCCTCGTGGAGCCGGGCGCCGCCGTTGGGCAAGCCGTGCAGCAGCGAGACGGGCTTCATCAGGAGGCCTTTGGAGGAAAACGCCGACAAGGACAGCGACGAGTCCGAGTCGGAGCGATTCAGGTCCCTGCGGGAGAAACGCAAGATCAGACCGAAGCAACGTGAGCGGCTCCCGACGTTCGGCCAGGACACGCTGCGACGCCAAACGTGTTAGTTTTCAAGCAAAGGGGAGACTGTGAGGTTGGACAAAGAGGAGCGTCAAACGGATGCAAAACCAACTTGAGTCACACTTTTCCGAGTGCAGTGGAACCTCCTGAAGTGGTTTATCAAACGGATTGATAGTATTTGGCCAAAGGACCGGACGTCTTCTGAAAATGAGGTTTCTTTGCTTATTTTTTTTCCCCAACTCCATATTTGCCAAGAATGACGTTGGGCTTGCTCGGACCCGGGAGGTTCCATCGCACGCATGATTTCGAAGCGTTTGTGAGCGCAGGTGCCGAGCGTCCACACGCGCATGCCACGCGGCGATGGATACCCGAAGCTGTCGCGACGCGCCGAGTGCGCTTCCGAGTCGTCGGAGAAAGTGAGGTCGGGAATCGGGTCCATGGGCTGGAAAGAAGGCTGATGAAGGTGGGAGGAATGAGGGGCGACAGAGGAGGAGGAATGCGCAGTGGCGCCCGAGCTACAGATGATGGCGGGGTGGGACACGGCGGAGGACAGCGGGGGCAGACACAGACTCTCCAGGTGCCCGAAAGACTGGCTCCGGGACTCTCGGAAGGCGGGCCGAGGACGGGGGGGACCCGGGTGCGAGGCTCCCTCCCCCTGCTGGCCCTCCGGCGGGGAACCCTCTACCAACCTCTGCGAGCTCAAAGCCAGGTGGGGGTCAATGTGGCGCTGGCGCAGGGACATCATGCTGGGAGCTGTGGGCACAAAGCGACAACCACGTTATTGGCCGCTCGGAAACCGCCGTGCGCGGGGTCCGCGATCGGTGGAAACACACCCACAACTGACTGGGATTCAGTTCAAAACAAACTTGAATGGACTCCGTATTTGCTTTGAGGGTTTTTATGACTGGTTAGCGCGTCGGCCTCGCAGTGCAGAGGTGCGGGGTTCGATTCCAGCTCCGGCCTTCCTGTGTGGAGTTTGCATGTTCTCCCCTTGCCTGCGTGGGTTTTCTCCAGGTACTCCGGTATGGAATGTGGAACACATTAATTGTCCCGAGGTGTGAGTGTGAGCGCGGGTGGTTGTTCGTCTATGTGTGCGCTGTGATTGGCTGGCAACCAGTTGAGGGTGCACCCCACCTCCTGCCCCAAGACGCTGGGATAGGCTCCAGGGCACCCGTGACCCTCGTGAGGATAAACCGGTTCAAATAATTGATGGAAGGGATGGGTTTTATGACCATGCCAGAGTTTAAAAAAAAAAAAAAAAAAAAAGTTTTCAGAAATCAAGGCCACACCTTGGCCACCAGGAGACAGTATAATGCACGTGTGTGCGCGCGCACACGCGCGCGCACACACGCGCGCGCACACACACACACACACACACACACACACACACACACACACACACACACACACACACACACACAACAAAGATGCTCTCCTCCGAGCTCGGTAAGCAGCCATATTATACAGTACATCCACCCATGCATCCATGATATATTTTACACAAACACAAACAGTATGTGTCAGTTGATACAAACATGGCGACTCCACCAACATGATGACAAATATGTATGACGATGATCTTGAATTTATCTTGACCATGGCGTCCCACAAACAAGGCAACACAAACAGGGAGTCATTCATCAAATCCCAACAGTCGTGGTGTCTTTCCTCTTTACATGCGGAGGAAAGGGAATCGGGAGCCGGGTGCCGCGACAGTGAACCCCCGTGCGTGATGTGTGGGCGGGAATCGCCAAAGGCCACCATTTTGATTGGCCCCCCCACCCCGACAGGTTGATCAATGCCACAAGCTGGCTGCAACGCAATTTGTTCGATGAGACATGGTGAGAGCCTGACAAAATGAGGCTCCCCGCCTCCGTCGGACGTCATCACTTGGCACCCAGATGCCAATTGTTGGCGCCAAAGCACTATTTCTACATCAGACATGGCTGAAAACAGCAAGCTGGGGATGGTTCCCCATAAAACGCAAGCCAATACACGAAGTTGCGAGCACACGAGGGTTCACTGTCTTGCAACATCGAGGTGATGGATAGCAACGTGATGATTTTAGCCTGTCAAAGCCGACATTTTCTGCCTTTTGGATGAGAAATGCGACAATTTTGCGCCTCTCTGAGGTGAAAGGAGTGTATTTTGCATTTAGATTTTTCAATACGCCACCGAGGCACACGGTCCAAATAGGAAAAGGTCCATTCCTTTGTTTTTGTTGGATACGGAACACATTTGGGTGCATTTCAGTTTGTGTCGGGGCCGTTTTGGTACAGAAAAGTGACATGAGGCAAAGGCGGTGAAATGGCGGCTTTTCCAGGCGGGCTCAAGATCATGATGAGAAGCAAAGCTGGGTGGTGACGGGGTTAAAAGCAAGGTGACCGTCGTTAAGATGGGAGCCAGTGATTTGTCAGGTTGGGTCAGAGGTGGCTTTGATTTCTACTCGGGGGTGGGGTCGGAGGCGCGTTGGGGTAGAATCGAGTAAAAGCCAACCAAGATTTTTCCACATGGGCTGACAATCCGAGCCGCCGGACCACAGGTCACTGGCTCGCCGCTCCAAAAGCCGAGCGCCATCTGCAGTTGACCAAAAGGAGTCGGCGGGGAAGAAGAAGGGTGGCGGTGATGCGGGTGTGAAGAGAAGGGAGTGAGAGAGGCAAGTGCAATTAACGCCGATGAGAAGACTTACTCTTGAAGCCAAGTCAATTCCTCTCTGTGTATCGGCAACAAACATAAGCTTGGGGCACAACTAAAAGGGGGTTCAATTATTAGTGTTATTTAGTGTGTGTGTGTGTGTGTGCGCGCGTTCCAACATTTTGTGAGTGGGCGAGGATCAGGCAAATCCATTTGGGATAAGGCTGTCAATACAACGAAAAGTTAACGTGCTCTGGAGCGCCTCCTGGACGCGGCGTCTGAGCGCCTGGACCACGGTGCCGGTTTCAACCATCCGTTGGGGCCATCTTCTGCTTCTCCAGGGCGGCCTCGCAAGGGAAGCCCAGATTTTCCCAGCGACGTGGGTCAGCTCTTCCCCAGGTCAGCCGTGAGACATATTCTCTCCAGCTTATCCCGCGTGGCCCCGGGGGCGGACACGCGTGCGGACGCAGCGCCGACATCGGACTAAGAACCGCTCAAGCGACAGTTGAGGAAGACAAAAAGTATCCCTCCGTCCACTTTCAACGGCCGCCGATCGGGCCCTTTGGGCAAAAGCCGGATCGCTGCCTGCACTGGCGCAGTAACGGGACACAGAGAGACGGACAACCATTCACACCGTCACCGAGGGGGAACTGAGCCAACGCTGCGCCAAAGTAAGGCGCATGTATCGCCACGCCATCGTTGGCTTCCAACAGAAAATCATTTGCAAGAAGCGAGAAAAATAAAATAAAATAAAAACACAGATGCGTCCCTGTGCAACCAAACCAGACTCATGGAAAGCCTGGGCCGCGCTTCAAAAGTCACTCCTTAAAATCCAACACAAATGAACACACATCACTGACAAAATGTACAGCACAAAAACTTTCTTATTGAGAAGTCCAAGTCCAAGAAGATTTGTTTTCTTTTTTTACAGGAAAAAAAATGAGCCCCGGTCACCATCGCGGACTGGAGTCAAGCGGACACACAGATGCGTTCGGGGGGGGTGGGGGTAGGGGGGGATTGTGGCTCACGGAACAATGACAATGACGCAAACGGAGACGAACGACATCCGTGCAGGATGTCAAAGGGCAAGCCCCCTGCGCCCTCACGAGTTCTGATGTCTAGATTTCCCCAGCAGGATCTTGGGGCGCTTAAGGGATCGCTTGCTACTCCCGGCCGACGAGCCCAGCGACTCGGACGAACTCTTACATTGCAGCACGGCGGGCAGGATGTCCTCGTCCAGGTCGTCCATGTCGTCGGACACGAGGAAGTGCTGCGGCGTGGCCCGCCCCCCCATGAAGCTGGGGTCCAGGTTGAGGGCCGACGCCAGCGACGGCAGGCCCGGGTTGTTGACCACCGTGAAGCCGGTCAGCAGCTCGATCTGCTGCCAGCGGTGGAGGCGCTCGCGCAGGGCGGCCGTCACCTCGCCCAGCGCTTGTCTGGGTTGCGGGGTGAGAGGGGGGGGGGGGAAATGTGAAAGATGCTTCCGAAGACGTCCTACAGTTTGTCAATCTTTTTGTTCACTCAATTCAAATGAATTTGGGAGAGACTTGCTGTGTCTGCGACTCACTTTGCCGCCAAAATTTTGTGGTCCACGTCATCCAGGGACGAGCTGTGCGCCACGTGGAAAGTCCCAAAGAGGGTGTTCCTCTTTTTCTTGATCTTCTCTGCCTGTGGGAGACAGCGCAAAAAGTAAAGGCGACTGCCGCTCGGACAAAGTGCGAGGGCCGCGTTTCCGAACGCAAGCCGGGTGTGGGACGGACCCCCTCTTTGGCCACTAGGAGCTGGCGCTCTGCGTTCTGCTTCTTGACGTTGTAGTACTGGACCTCCACCTCGTGGGTGAGCTGCAGCCACTTCTGAAGCGATTCGGGAGGGGACCAGCTACTCCGCGACTCCAGCTCCTTCTCGGCTTTCTTCAGAGCCATGCGCACCTGCCCGGGACGTCAAAGGCCACGTTCGTTGAACTCGGGTTTGTTTTTCGGGCTGCGACCGTTCATCCGCGATCAAATTAATCAATCAAGCAAAATCTGGCACGTAACAAATTCAACCGTTGCATCCCGAGTTCACGTTTTCACACACGGTGTGGGTCCTAATGGTGTGCACGCCTTTGCCACCAGGGGGCAATATAATTAGCGCGCGTCGATACTGCTCCGTGAGCTGCGGTAACCGTCAGGAGTATTGTCATATATCGTCTGTATGTTTGCGTTCACATATCCGTTGCTTCAAGGGTTACAACAACGCGACATCGAAGCAAGTGACGTTAGCCTGTCTATGGCATTCCACCGTGGAGCCAGCGGACATTTGTTTCAATACGAGCCGGGTTATTTGTAAGTGGAGGCAAAACTGCCCTGGTGAGGTTTGCCGCGCTCAATCTTTCCTGCCAAATTCCCGCTAAACAAAGCCGAGCACGGGTGTCTTTACGTGACTCCGATGGAGCGTGACATTAGCGTACACGTTTCCGCACACCGGACTCCGCCTTTCATACCTGCTCGAGCTCCTCTTCGGCATACTTCTGTCGGCTGAGTTCGTTCTCGGTGCCCTCACGCAGTTCCCGGAGCCGCTGGGCTTCCTGCTTGGCCGTGCTGATCTCGTCCCGCAGCTTCTGCTCCAGGTTGACCTTCTCCACCTCCACCGAGCGGTGCTCCTCCTGGGCGATCTGCAGCCTGCCGCCAACACGCGCCACAATTTCATCTCAACAAGCCCGTCAGGTCGGCGGCAGGACCACAATTTTCTTTCTTGGAACACTGACACGAGTTGCACAATCATTCAAATAGCATTGCACCCTCTGCCTTGTATGAGTTCAATGTATCAAATTCCCAAAGACTTGATTCACACATGAACCAATTATCTGATCCGCTTCATCCTCAGTCGGGTCGCGAGCGTGCCGGAGCCTTTCGCCAGCGGGCGGCGCTCACCCCCAACCGGTTGCCAGCCGACCGCAGGGCACGCGCCAGAACCAACAACCGTTCGCGCTCACACTTGTGACATCATTCCAGACAACGTGTCCAAGATGAGCAAGGCGAGCTACAAGCACCAAAAGCAACACCGCTGCATTGAGCGTGTCCATGAAACGCAATCCCCGAGCAACAGAATATCGGGACGTCTTTCTGTTGTGCGCCGCACCTTGTGGCCGGTGCGCCGACGTATGCATAGCTGGCATCAGCAGAACCCAGCGCTGACTCTGGCTAGCGCGCACAATAAAACGGCATCAGAGGCTAGAACAGCTGTCGGCGTGCAATTATAGAACAGGACAGTGCGTGTGTTGCTCAATGCTTGTGTACTACCACCACGCGGACCCGTGTGTGTGTGTGTGTGTGTGTGTGTGTGTGTGTGTGTGTGTGTGTATACGGAGCACTTCTATTTTTAGAAGTGAGCATGACTTTACAAAAGGAGGAGGGCTTGATCGCCCATGACTTAATTACTCAGTGCTTAGTCACGCACAGCCCTTGACTTGAGTCCCAGCCCATCATAATAGCGCCCAAGGTGTTTGGGGGATATTCTTTTACGGCAGGAATACCGTCGCTTGGCGTGCAGGAGCAGCACCTCCACGAGGGGAGAGTGTGGTGGGAATGAAAGGCGATCCCGATGGGAAAAGGAGGCTGCACTGAGGCGATTCCAACTTAACGTCGCAGGACATTTTCCAAGAGACGAAGCCGTACTTTCTTGATGCTAACGGGTGTGTTAACGACTCGTTCGACGCCGTCCTTGACAATTTTTTTCCCACCCTCTGGTCACACCACGACTAGATGTCCACCCACCCCCACCAATGTGGCAGAATTAGCAGCAAAGCCCCACATGTTAAGCGATCATGCTTAACACCTCGTCTTTGAATCACAGGGTGCTCGAAAGGGCTCCCTGGAAATCCAGCCTCCTCCCAATGTCTCTCCCTTCAGGGACGCGGCGGTATCAAGTGGCCCCGGGCTTGAGCGTATGGAACGGGAGCAGCTGGCAGGAGGGATCAGGACAAAGCGGTGGGCGTACTGCGGCTACACTGCCTTGGCGTCAAGAATTGTAAAAAGCCCTTGGTCGAATTGTAGATTTAGTGCGGTTCATAAAACCAGTCTAGAAAACTATATATAAAAGAAAAAAGAGAAAAAAAAACAACTTTGTGCTTCTTTGAGTTGGGCAACAACTTTGCACCTGAGCAGTGTGCCTTTAAGGGGGCGTGGCTTAGTAAGTGACATCGGTCACTTTGTGCTCCCCCTGCAAAGATTGAAAAAAAAAAAATTGCCCTCAGCACCTGTTGTGACTGAGTGACATGATATTGGATGGACATGTCTATCACAAAGGGACACATGAAATGGACCCACGCCGGAAATTGAACAGGAAGTCGCCCGTTATGGTTTGAAGCGACCATTTCGGTCGGACAAATATCAGGAACCAAATGAGCAGCGACTGCAGACAGACGGGTCTGGTTGTAAACCGTTCTTTATGACCATAAGGCATTCGAAGGCGCGGTCTTAATGAGAAGTTCTGAAGTCCCTCGGCGGACGTGATTGACATGGAAACACAAATTGGATAAAAATTTAAAAAATGTCTACTGCTGAAGATGAAAAGTAAAAACACCCAGCATGTTGAAAATGTGTTGAACAAACATGCAGAAAGGCACTTCAAGTTTTAAAGTATTTTTCTTTGGACTGCAAACGCACATCGATCCCAAATATCGCATATCAATCCCAAATATCGTATATCGGCCTTGACTACTCACAATCGATGTATGCATCTGCTGTGATAAACACCTCGCGGTCGCTATCTCTGAGGAATTTGAGCGCTGAGGTTGCAAAAGTAGGTCAGTGCGTGCGATTTTTAGTGTCGGGGCCAGCAAAGAAGGCCTCGCGGGTCCGCCGCCTCCAGTCAAGCGCATCCCGTCCCCCGGATCAACGCCGCAAGTTGAAAAGGGGGAGCGCCGCGTGAGATCGCTGCGTGAGATCACCGTGTGAGCGTCTCCTTGAAAGGAACAAGAAGAGACGGTGCGCCCGCTCGGGAGCACGCTGTCCGCATTCCTTGTTGTATTAGCCTCCCCAAAAATAGTTGCTCCGATCCCCTGAAACGCTGCTTGAAATGACTCAGACTATTTTATCTTATCGAGGCACAGTTTGCGAGACTGTTTAAATATGCGGAATCGCTCAAGCCAGGCGGTCGACAAAAGAAGCGGCGGCAGAGGATAATGTGTGTCCAAAAGGCTATTTTTAAGGACCTCTGACTGCGATGCACTCACAAGAAGGATTGCAAGCCTCCTGGACTGACAAATCGAGGCTTGAACAGTCATCGAATCAACAAATTAAGGATTCGTGTGAAAACACCTTTTGGCAATTCTATTCAGGAGGTCACTCGAATCACGAAGAAACTATTTGAGTTGGAGATTCAAGATCCTGGATGCAAGCGGTCAAGATAATATTCTTCCGCAGGGCGTCCGGGCTTGTTCATGAGAGACAACTGAACCGGGAGGAGAGCCGGATGAAGAGGCTCGGGCATCCGGTCGGGATGTTTCCCGGACGCCGCCCCGGTGAGGTGATCCGGGGGCGACCCAGGACGCACGCGAGAGAATACCCGGCAGTCATGGGAACGCCCCGCGCTGCCCGCCGGAAGAGCTGGATGAAGCGGCTGGGGGAGAGGAAAGTATGGGCTCCCTCGGTCAAGCGGCTTTCCCCGCGACCCAAGCGGAAGAAAATGGGTGGATGGGTGGAGTCGTTCAAACGTTCACATCGATGTGTACTTTTTGGGGAATATTTCAGGGCCCTTTTTTGACGTTTGGGACCCCTGCACGGGACGGACCTGGAGAGTCACTGACGGGCAGGTACAAGGGTTCACTCTGTGCTGGTAGGGCCAGGGAATGGGGGAAAAAATTTATAAGAAGGACTCACTTTTGTTGCAGGTCGTGCAGACTCTGCTCGGCCTTCTGCAGGCCCTCCAGGTCCTTCATCATCTTCTTCATGTGATCCTTGGAGTAGCGGTTCTGGATGTACGCGAACCAGCAACCGCCCATTCCGATGACGATGGACACCACCAGCATGAAATCTTTCAGGTGGTTGTGTCGATTCACTGCAACGTGCAGAAAATCAAGAGTGCTGTGCGTTCATTCTTGTTTGGTCACAATTTCAAACAAGATGAAAACAAGACTCGACATCCCTCTGAGCAGCTTGATGAAATATTCATGGTAATACGATCCAAATATTTGGGCGAGGCCCCGGATCAGGTCGCGACCTGCTTTCAAGTCAACTCGGAAGAGCCCCTCGTCGTTTTGTAAAAACGTTGCCCGTGAGTGGTTTTCGTGCACGACAGTTCCTTCCGGAAGTCTCTCGAAGGAGAAGTTGGCGAGGTTTGCGAGTCACCTCTCGCTCATCCGCGCACATCCGACCTATTCGCCACCCATAGTGCAATATTTCCTCCTCCCGAACGGGGAGGTTCAAGAAGGCTAAAAGCTCGCCCGGTTGTGTTCATGTCAGCACACGAACAAGCGTGACATCTGCCATTGTGCAATCGGTGACACGCAACCGTTGCGCTTCAACTCGGCGCGCTGACTTGCGTAAGCTTGTCCGGAAGAGAACGGGCCTCATTGTGCGCGTGTCTTAAAATGCTGCCGCGCCGCCGAGGAAGTCGCAGCGGGCGCCGGCGCTTGGAGAGGCTGTCAAAGCCAGACGCCGCTCGCCTGTGCCCTCCTGGGTGCCAAAATCCACGTTGACATCTGAACAAAGTAGGCCGAGCGTGCGCGGCGCTGGCCGGTCATGTGCTCAGATTATCTGGTCAGATAAAACCAACAGAACGACGGCCTTGAGGTTTCCTGGTTTCTCACGCAAGCGATTAGAATATCGACCGTTCGGCGACAGCTGAACATTTGAATTTAACACTTCCTCTTCACTCTGGGGTGTGCCAACTTTTTTTGAACCAAGATCTCTCGGCTCAGCGGCACGGTGGCCGACTGGCGAGGACGTCGGCCTCGCGGTGCAGAGACGCAGCGTTCGATTCCGGCTCCTGCCTTCCTGTGCGGAGTTTGCATGTTCTCCCTGTGATTGGTGTGGTTTCCTGGAACCGAATCTACTTGAATATTTGGACTCGGGAGAGCTTGAACAAATTGTTGCCTCTTCATAAACAGGACACGTCTTCATTTTTGATGAAGCTCTTTGACGGAAACGCCACATTTACAGGAGCCGTACCTTATCGAATCGCAGTTTAACTGACTCGAAAGGAATCATCCATCCATCCATGAACCAAAGCGCTTATCGGTCGAATCGTATTAAGACAACGTATCGAGAGTCATCTTTGATGGGCCAGAGTCACTTCATCGTCACACATGACGACACATGACTTCAGCGAATAATTCAGCAAGCCGTCGCAGTTGGATTTGGATCCATTTGACAACTTTCACGTGCTTTTGAAGCAAAAAAAAAAGGGGGGGGGGGAGTTTTCCCGCTGCACTCAGCTCCTTTGAAGCTAACAACAAATATGTGGAACTAATCAGAGAATCGCGCATGCTACATAGAAAAGAAAAAAAAAAAAAAAGAAAAAGAACAGAAGGTGAAACGTGACACCGTCACTTACTGAGGGGCGCTCCGAACAGCACGGTGTCCAGAGATTTCAGCTGCAGCTTTTGAACATGGCTACGGTCCAGGATCTTGAGGATGGCATGCGTCAGCGTGGTGTTCTTCACGGCCAGCCTGAAGGAGAACAGACACGTGGGGGAGGAAGATTGCGAGCACGCGTTGCAAGCGGGAAAACGTCATGCGCTTTGGGATGAATCGGTGGGAGCGGCCCAACGTGTTGCCAGCACGGAGTTTTGGTCCCAGCGCGGCGGCCTCACCTGGGCATGGCGCTGCCGTTAAAGCTCATCTTGCGGAAGGCCTCCACGTACTGCGGCAGCTCCACGTAGGTGATGAGCCATTGCACCACCTCGTCCACCGTCCAGTTGTACACTGAGGACAGCGAGAGGGGAGGCGCCGCAGTTAGCTCAGTTGCTGGACATGATTGGCAACGTGAAATGGGAACCTTTTCATGACTGCCGCTTACAGTTACAGCGGTTTGCAACGACATTTTAGGAATAAAACCCGGCTCATTTTGGACAAAGATGACAATTGGTGACGTTTTTCGTTTTTTTTAGGTGGTACTAGCCTGAGAAACACTGCCGTAGACAATTTGCGGCGCTTGGTCGTTGGCTAACTCGGCAGTGGGCTCCGAATGAAGGTTTACGTTGCGCCGTGGCCGGAGAGCGCCTGTAACGTTTGCATCTGGGGCTATCCCAAAACGAGCTCTCCCGTATCATAACCGTGAAGCGGCGAGGGAGGGAACAGTGGGGGCGGCTGAGCCGAGGGGGTAACCTAACCGCAAAGTCAACGTGTGCGAGGGCGCTACGAGTGTGAGAAAAGGCGACCGACAGCCAGGGTGTGAAAGACGCGATAGGCAGATAACGGCGAGCCACATGAAAGCCCGACCGCTCGAGAGCGGCAGGCAAGGGGGGGGAGCGGGGGTTGGGTTGCGACAGCGTGTGTGTCGACAGGCTGGAGGATGTTGCAGAGTGCGCCGCTCTTTGCTTGACGCGCCGGCGGAGAGAGTGCCTTGATCAGTAGGTCAAGAGGCAGATTATGTGAGCCACCAGATTATGCATTTACATGGGGGAGGGGGCGGGGTTTGGACATTTAAAGACGGATGCTCTCACACCATTCTGTTTCTGCCAACATCATTTCGAGGAGAAAACTGTTTTGATGCTCAGGGCGAAGAGAGGTTCTTCGGGAAAAAAAATTTCGGGGACAAATTGCGACCACTTCGGGACAGTGTGGGAGTCGCGCACTGCGCGGCGCAGCTTTGCGAGTATGTGTGCATCAGGCGAATGTTGTTTTTTCGCAAAACGTTTTTTTTAAAAACATATTTGGACTGTGCGCAAACACCCACCAACAGGGATGTTCCGATTCCGATCACGCCATTTTTAGCGACAGTCTAAGTAAACACGGCACATTGCGGAAACATTGTAATCGTTGTCACAGGAAGCTAACGTGAAGCTAGCGTCACGTAACGATGATCACCTCTGCAGTTTGGAAACGTTTTCATGTGGAAAGAGGAAGAGAGCGCCACGGCAACTTGCGATGTGTGCAAATAGAGCATTTCGTGAGGCAAATCCCAAAAAAATACCGGACACAGACGAGGTGGCACGTCCGCCTCACAGTGCAGGGGGCGCGGGTTCGAATCCGGCCCCTGCCTTCCTGTATCAACTTGACGTGTTGTCCCCGCCTCCGTAACTTTTCTCCGGTTTCCCTCCCGCATTGCAAAACGGTTGTCCGTCTGGTGACGCATTCAACAACGCGAGCGGTACCTTCCGAGCCCTTCCAGGTATTCCACAGATCCTCCACGCTGATGAACTGGTCGTCCCCGTGGAAGCTGTTATGCTTGGCCTTGGGGTCGTGGTAGTTCAGATCCTCCCTCAGGAACTGCGGGACGACCACATTGGCAGTTTAGTGCATGACGCAAGGCTCCTTTTGGACGGGTGGGGCACTCAAACACAATCATACAATCGTGTCAAGCATGAAAGGAAAGGCTTTCAGGCAATAACGAGCTGAAAGAGAGAGCGTGCAGTCCGACGGGTTATCTAGTGAGCATGCATAAGAACCACGTGTGAGCTCATGACAACGGGTGGCATCAAGTAACATTTTGCAAAAGTGCTCAAGTGATTTCGCCAATGGTCGCCGCTTCATGAAACATCGAACCAAGGGAGTGGCCCCCTGACTTCAGAGTTTAATTCATTTCGTTAAAAGGAATGGAAATGCCGCTACTGACCCCGTCCGTCTCCACGACGTCCACGTTGCCGTTCTTGTCGTCGTCCATTTGCTTGTGGATGCTGCGGATGGCCTCGAAGCTGAGCATGGGGTTCTCGTCCCGGCACAGCGGCTCATCGATGCGACAGAAATCTGCCAGAGATAAAGTCACGGGCAAAGTCGGTAGTCGGGTCAAGAATAGAAATAAAATCCACAGGGCCCTGTTCAAATGCTCGGTTGTTGCGGGCGGTTTTACAGCTCATCATTTTTGTCCTGCGGCTTGAAATATTGCCAGGTTAGCTTGGCGTGGGCGCGTTTGCGCGAAAGGCAGACGATGATGTCACGGCATAATTGGCCAATCTCTCAGTGAGGCCTTAAGGAGTGACTCTGGTCTTCCCCCACCAGCGCCGCATCCTTCCCTTTTTGCGCTGGTTTCCGCCTTCCTGAAGGCTCCCAAATAAAACCTTCCGCATATGAGCAACGCTTGCTCAGTATGTACCACAGATGTGCGAGCTGCACCTGGGACTCTTTGCTCCATTCGAGAAGCTTTGCACAGTTGCAAGCTGGACACCCTAAAGATGGGTGGTGGTGGTGGTGGTGGTGGGGGGGGCAGTGTAGATATAATCCATCATCCAGTAAATGCTGAAGAGATCGTGTTCAATTTTAGAGACTCCACTGAATGTGAATTTTGAGTTGTTTCCTAAAACAACCCAAAACGGGCAGACGTGGTCTCCATCGGACAGAAGCTGGGACTTTTTTCAGAAAACAAAAACGGCACCGTAGTTCCGACACATCGCAGGATGCCATTGACTGATATTTTATGATTCACAGCGCCGCGTTCACATCCCAACGAGTGCGTCGAAGTCGCAGCAGCAGCAGCACGTCATGGCAAGTCTTTGCACGAGACACTGAACAGAAAGCCCCGCAACATTTTCGCAAGTATTTTTCACATGAAAGATTGTGCATTTTAACCTGCAGAGGCAGTTGGGAGGACTAAACACCGCCCCCCCTCCTAAAAAAAAAAAAAATGCAGCTGACAAGCTGTCATCGTGTGAAAGGGTTCACCTGCGCCGCCACCCATCATTTGCCTTGCAAACCTCTGACAAGCAGATATGAGCTTTACAAACCAGTCGGCCTGCTTCTTCTTTTTTTTTTTTTAGAGCTTCAGTTCTGCAAGTCATTGTCAACGCAGAGCAGATGCCGCACATTTCCAATGACACAGCCTGAGCAGCTTCCGCCGATTCAACGCCATCAAAAAAACAGCAAAGCTCACAATGCGAGACTGCACCGCATTCGCACTTGCGGCCAATTTACAATCTTCAAGAGTCCATTTCCTCACGTGGGATGACGCCGTTGTACGAGGCCGACGTGCAAACCACGAACACGCCGGGCTGCGCTACACTTGATGGACTACCCGCACTGACTGTCAGAAAAATCAACAAAATATAACAGCAGGGATACTTTTAAGTGAAATAAAACGGTGGCTGGCTCAAGTTAACATTTCTGTATGCCTTTGGGGGGCTGGGGTGGGGTGGGGGGGGCAGTTATTGGTTGCTCAGGCCGAACAGATGGCTGCTACTCTTTGTTGCTATATGAGGAAGTACACTCTATTATTTTCATGCCTTGGCTTTCATAATAAACAACACCGTGCATTGTGTGACGCAATCACAATGGACAAAAGGAAAAAGGGGAAAAAAAAGGGAAAAAGGTGGCTTCGAAAAATGCAGCAGGTTTGGGTTTTGGCAGCACTTTTTGACACACCCGTTTCTATTGACCTTTTCACAATGTTTGTCAGCGATCGGTGCCAGAGTAGTTTCAGGTGGCAGGAAGTGAGTGAGCACCGCCAATTTGAACTGAAATGATGACCCAGTTCGAGGTGACGGGCGAGGTTGTCCTTGTCCCCTTAAATTTTATTTTTATTTAATAATGATAATAATTGGCCTGCAGGGGAGGAGGATAAACGGAGTGGCTCACAAGACTGCCTGAAGGCATAGGAGCTACTTGTGAAGGAAGAGGCAGCCAAGACAACCTCGCGGAAGACGTTTTCCTCAATAATTAGCCGGTCCCTCGATGATCACGTTAAATATTTGACAATCGACGACTCTGTTGAAAGGTAAATGACCATCGGCGCTTCGTCTCCCCTCCAAACAATTCACCTCGGGGAACTTCATCTTTTCAAGGGACGTTTCGCGCATTCCAACCGCGCGTGCGTGCGTAGCCAGATATTTTTCACTGGGGTGACTCGGTTGACACAACATCTCAACACACACAGAATCGTAACCCCCCACCCCCCCGTAAAGGAGAAGTAATTGTTTATCAAAGCATCCGCAGTCAAGGCATACCCAGAACTTTGCTCAGCACACGAGCAGGATCAAGTGCAAATAAAAGGCCGCGTTTTGCCGAGCTTCATTTACGAGACAGCGCCATTTTATTTGCCGTTGTTTAGCGTTTATGGACTTCCTCACAGTCTACTTCTCTCTTATTCACTGATTTGCAGTTGCTAGCGAACATCCAATCAGAGCGAGTCATCGTCACACCGTGATTGATGGCCCACTCATTCAAACGGTATCAAAAAAGAAGCATGCCACATAAAATCTCTTCATTCTTCACAGTTCTGAATGCTGCTTTTTACTCTGGCTTGACGGATGGATGCATTGTTCCTGCTTGTGTTAAGAATGCGTGGCGAGGTTCTGGATATATGGGCATGATACTGACTGCGGTTGCTACGATAAACGACGACTTCTCAACCCTGTCGTTTGCTTGCCGAGGAATGACTTGCATTGACATTTCCAGATGATTTGAGTGAATCGAAAGGAAACGTGACCGAGTAGCAAGGCATCCGAGGATACCGCATCGGTCAATTGCTTCCTGTCTGACAAAGCGTTTTGATGCGCGCTGGAGAATGCGGGGCCGGCCAAACTATTCTCAGCCGGGCCACATATAGAGCCGGCGCAAAGACGCACGCCGAGTTTGAGTCCAGCTGTCTGACTCAAACTCGGTCACCACTTAACATCAGAACTGAATTGTGGACCCGTGAGGAAGGTTTTCAGAGTTAGAGACTTCCCTGCTGAATTCGGAGCAATTGATGTGAATAACCCGGCGCTTTTCATACTCAATTTTCGTGATATAATGACTACAAGCGTGAGTGAAGGTTAAGTATAGACCGGCACATTCAGACTTGTGCACAAATGTGTCCAGTGTTTAAAATGCAAAACAGGAAGGAATAAACAATTGACAAAAATACCAGAAAAAAAATCTGGGTTGGGGTGTGGACTAAAGTCTCATAAAAACGGACAGAAATTGGACACAAATGGTGCAAAAAAGGTGACAAAAAAAATCATGCAATAAAATACAGACAACTAACTGTAACAGGAATAAGAACGGAATTTACAAAACTGAAGGTTAGCTATTTTTCAAGAATTTAAATATTGTTGAAGAACATTTGAAAATAATCCGGACAATAACAACCGGATTTCATGCAAGTACAGTGATAGCGTCTCAAGAACACCCTGGCCTGTGGGCAAGCAGAGCTATTTGCAATTTATCAGCAGGCAAAATGTTTGGATTGATGCCTAATTCCTTTCCATTTTCTTCACATTTGAAATCTTTGGACATTTATCCATCTTAACATTCCATAAACATTTACTGTAAACTCTCCGGGAATTGATGGGATACTGTGCCCTCCTTGGCAACATTTCTCACCTGATATTGCATTTTCAGCAGGATCCGCCGAGGGCGAACCGGGCCTGTCGGTCCGGCTTCCTCTAATGAGACACAAGCAAAATATCCACAGGGTCACCACTTTGTTGAGCTCCATGTCTGCTCCTCTGCTGCAAAAATAAGAGGAGAAGCGCTTCAAACATCCTGGCAAGCAACTGGAGCACAATCGGCTAATATTGTGTCTCCGATAGCTAATATTTCTGGCCAGGAAAATAACGATGAAATAGACAGAAATCAATATTACTTTTCGGGTGAGGCTCCTCTTCAACAATGGCGCAAAGTTGCTAGCGTTCCTCGTGAGGCTTCAAATTTTAATGCGTTATGTAAAACCTGTATTTCTTCTTCCCCGTGCACATATTAGCACACATCAGATTAGCAATTAAAATAAATGATTCAAAGACAGACAGACGATCCATTTGAAGATGTCAGCAGACTCGCAAAACAAAATGCTCCCGCTTCTCAGTCGATTAAATGGGGAAAAATGGCCATGATAAATATCTATCTATCTAT